GCCCATTATGTACCACTAGCACATCTCTTCTTATAATGTAGTAGTTGTCTATTTTTCCCTTGATTTCCATGGCTATAAAATTTTTGGGCTTGCTTTCAAGAAAAAAAAAGAAGTAAACTTCATTCTTTGGAGGCCTCATACATATGGGGGCCCAAGCCACCTTTGAATATGTTGGTCCTCTGTTTGGTAGCCATTAAAAAGGGTTTCTTTTTGGAAAAATAAGTTTTGAAATAGCGATTTTTTGAAGAACGTATGGTTAAAAAAGTAGAAAAAAACTTTGGACTTGCATTTAATATATTTTATTATGTAAACGTATAATTAAAAATGAGTTTAAAAAAAAAGAATTTTGAAAAAATGAAGCAAATAGGAGCCAAGTCAATGGCTTTACCACCTAATACAAAAGTCATAACTTCAACAGATACTCTCTTCGGATCAAAATTGTTATTTTCTTATATAATTGCTGATTAATTAATTTTTATGTTTATTTTTAAGAAAGCTATTCTCAGTTCACTATTGATATGAATGCGTTTGCAAGAATTACTTTTGTCATTGTCCAACCGACCCCCGCAAAAAGTAGTAATATACTCAAAAAGGAAAAAGTAAAAGGACTGCTCGAATCGTTTTGAATAATGCTGCTCTACCAAGCCTTTTACAGATCTGGTAGAGCAAAAGTTCTCACATGAGGTGGAAGCTACTTGTAAAAAAAAAATTTGACAAAAAGCTTGACACGCTCTCACATGAGCCGACCCCACGTGAATAAAAAATTGGACAAAAAATATGGAGGCCCCCACCCGATGTGAGAGGCCGGTCAGGGTGTTTGTCACCCCTGACCGGTACACCAAGCCTCGTCCTTCTTATAATGTAGTAGTTGTCTATTTTTCCCTTGATTTCCATGGCTATAAAATTTTTGGGCTTGCTTTCAAGAAAAAAAAAGAAGTAAACTTCATTTTTTGGAGGCCCCATACATATGGGGGCCCAAGACACCTAATATGTTGGTCCTCTGCTTGGTAGCCATTAAAAAGGGTTTCTTTTTGGAAAAATAAGTTTTGAAATAGTGATTTTTTGAAGAACGTGTGGTTAAAAAAGTAGAAAAAAAACTTTGGATTTGCATTTAATATATTTTATTATGTGAATGTATGATTAAAAATGAATTTGAAAAAAAAAATTTAAAAATAAAACAGATACTCTCTTCGGATCAAAATTGTTATTTTCTTATATAATTGCTAACTAATTAATTTTTTATGTTTATTTTTAAGATAGCTATTCTCAGTTCACTATTGATATGAATGCGTTCGCAAGAATTACTTTTTATCATTGTCCAATCAACCCCCGCAAAAAGTAGTGATATACTCGAAAGGAAAAATTAGGCCAAATGCCTTAAAAAATTAACTTATTTGATTAATACCATGTTAACTAATTAAAACATTTAAGAACGTAATTAATACATTATAAAATTCCCCAAATCTCTGAACCATGTACAATCTATAATCGACGATAATTCTTCTAAACTTCCAAAGATTGACGGCTGATTTTACTGGAAAAACTCTAAAGACTGATGGAGCTGGCGATGGCCATAAGACGACGACGGTGCTACTGGTTGTGGTTGTTCATCATCCTCCTGGTGGCAGCGATGACGGTGGTGGTTTTTTCCTCTTTCTCTTCTTCTATATTTCTTGAGATTCTAACAACTTAGGTTCTGGTTAGGATAAAGATGAGGATTCCTCAGAGGATCCAGACTCGGACCCTTGTTTTTCTTTTCTTGTTCCAACTTTTTTTAAAACAACTTTTGCTTATATCAGAGATTGACTTTTTTCTGCAGCTGTTTCTCACTCTTCTCCTCTTTCTTCTCGTTCTATAATATCTGCTGCCTATCCCAAAAGTCTTTGCCATTCAACCTTCCAAATTCCATCACTTTAAACAGAAAGAGGGGAGCATACCCCCCCACCAAAGCCTATAAAACTCTAATTTCAGCATAACCCATCTTCTTCATACTACTACTACTCACTTTTTCACAGCTAAACTTTTAATCTGTAGTAACAAATATGCAGGAATATAAAGAGAATTCTTGATTTACTCTAAGGCTAAATCAAGAATCCCTATGCAATGGGTTTTGAACCAAGAAACAAGAGGACAAGTTTTTTTC